CTATCTATCTATCTATCTATCTATCTATCTATCTATCTATCTATCTATCTATCTATCTATCTATCTATCTATCTATCTATCTATCTATCTGATCTAAAGATGGTCTGGTAATACACAAAGAAAAAGTAAAATATCTATTTGTGTGCATGGAAGTACACACTCTCGTCACAATGATTGAGCATGAGCAAAAGACAGATGTAAATACTGCATATCCTCTAAAAAGATAAATGGAAAGAGGCAAACAACTATGTAAATAATTAAGCGTACAGCTGCTCACTCCTTCTGAAGTGTTCTTGAGCATGTCTACCTTCGGTTTTCTAAGAACCAGAAAAAAGAAAGGAGCCATACACAAGAGGAATACATAAAGTCACCACTAATGATTCGTGGAGCCCATAAATTTATATATATGTGAGGATAAAATCAATACTGATCACGCAATTTGGCAAATGCAGCACATAAATACGTGGATTAAGTGACATACAGCCACGGGAGGGATCTCAGATCAGCTTCCTGTCTAATGGAGAAAATGACCACGAGTGCATTTGAGCGAATACATTTTTTAGCAGCTTGCCGTTGCCACAACAACAGCCACTGCCACAGAAGGTCAACATATTTGTCATTATCAGCCATAAACCACATTAAGCAATGTGTGCCTTTTAAATAATTTGGTCGTTTAGAGGGTTTTGGTGCGYTGCCCTGTTATCCCCCGAGCCAGGCTGCTTTCAGGGGCCGACCAGAGTCGCCCAAGCAACTCGGACCACGCCGCCAACTATGATGTGCAAAGTCAACTACTTGTGGGCAAAATTCAAATCCGAGAACACTGCTGACACAGGCCAAAAGCTGTTTGCTCTCTTTTCCATTCAAACGACCTGCTTTGCATTGTWTGGAGAGGTCCGGGCAGGATCACACTATGAAAACAAATGCGGGGCTTTAAGATAACAGAACCAAATCTTGGCGGGGCCACTGTCACAGGACATTATGGTCAAACTAACCCTGAATGGCTGCTGCTATGGGAAACCATATTGGCCATGCAAAGTTCTGTCTAACGAGGAGAAAACTATCAAACAAGGCTGGAGTTAAAGTGGTAGTTCAGKTCTGTTGAAGTGGGGTTCTTTAGAAAKGTTAYGAGCAGGCAACAGATTAYTARGGCCCTATAAAARAATTATTTTCCCAATTTCTGTTTTATTTATTCCCAAATTCCATTTTTTTCTGTTTTTATTTTTCTAAATTCTTATTTGTCTGTTTTTATTTTCGTACTAATCATATTTATTGACTTAAATAGTTTGTAATTATAAAAAGACTGAAAAATAGTTTACCAAACAAATAGCCTGTTTCTGATGAGTCTTTGACAACACTGCAAAAAATGTCCACCTAACCAAGTTTTAAAATCTTATATCAGCCAAAAAGTCTTTTTGATCTTGTTTTGAGACTGATTTACTAAACAAGAACTGATTGTTTAAGAATAATAATCTTGTTTTCAGAATGTGTAAGATTGTTTGTCTTGTTAGTCTGAAAATTTGACTCAAATTAAGTCAAAAATTTCTGCCAMTGGAGTAAGAAAATTTTACTTGGTAAGATTCTTGAAATACTTGATTTGACTCTTTTTTTTTCTTATTTCAAGAATCTTACCAAGTAAATTTTTCTTACTCCATTGGCAGAAATTTTTGACTTAATTTGAGTCAAATTTTCAGGCTTACAAGACAAATAATCTTACACATTCTGAAAACAAGATTATTATTCTTACACAACCAGTCCTTGTTTAGTAAATCAGTCTCAAAACAAGGTCAAAAAGACTTTTTGGCTGGATATAAGATTTTAAAACTTGGTAAGATGGACAGTTTTTGCAGTGAAGAAGTGGTCAGAAGTGGTTATCACATGTATTCTTACGCGTCCATTCCATCATTACTGACAAAACATACAGAGAAGTTGTTCTCCAGATTCACAAAAATTGTTGGGGTATGGTTCTGCCCTAAGCTTCACTTTTTGAAGACCTTGGAGTTTACAATGGCCGACCTTTTTTGTGTGTGGAGAAGATAAATTACACCGCATGTGGCCAAAATACATCAGAAACTCGGCCAAATTAGCAAAATCCATGAGACTTTTATACCRAATTCCATTTTGTTTGGGAAATTCTGTGATTCCGTCCACGTTTTCCACATCGCAGAGATCATAGGGCCCGAGATCACCCACAATTTCCCCTACTATTGAACGAGGAGGGCGGCCCGTCATCCCAACAAAACCACCCACATAAAATCACACCCCCGCCAACAAAAGCTCCGTTGACTGTAGTTTTTTTATAAAGACTCCCCCACTAGTCGGTTCAGTCAGAATGTATTGTGTTTCTAAATCMAGTGTGATGCTTTTTTTTTTACATTCCTTAACCAAAACAAAAGTAAAAGTACTAAATTTCTTTGGCAGGGATCCTTGAAGTAGATTAGTCTCACTGAAAAGTGACCATGAAAAAAGAATAAATAAGCTGCTTGAAACGCAGGTTGTAATTCTACATCAGAGTGCGTTAGGACACTCATCTCTCTTGGATTTTAATTAATTTGACACCTTTCAGCACTAATACAGTATCTGATGTCTGAGTAGCGCACAGTCACGCAGCATGACAACTGAAGGAAAGCAGCGGGCTGCAGGACAAGTCTCTGAAATGTGTTTCTACTCGTCATTAAGGCTATTAAGTCTAATACCTGAGAAGCACAATGGAGCTGCTCTCAGTGGCACGTCAGAGGACTTTTATGCCATGCATCGTATGTCGGAAACAAACAACGTAAGAGTTAAAAATAGAATCATTACTGGAATGTTTGTCATACATCAGATATTGTTTTCCAATTATTCCCCKCTGAACAATCACGTCCCGGCAGCTCTCCTGAGACAACCTCGAACAGGATGTGAGGCCCTGAAATGTTATCAAAAACGGGCGACGTGACACGGTGCACCGTAATCTCTCTGAAGCGGGAAAGAGTCGTAAAAAAACTGAAGGGAACAGAGGATGAAGAAAGCAACGTAAAGCAGAGCATGAGTTTTCATTAAAACACACCGCTGCAAGGAAAGTTGTTAAGACAAATGGACATGGGGTGTGTTTGTGTGTAGGCGTGTGTACGACTGAGGGGACTGGGAGCGGCGGGGGCATCAGCAGGCAAACCCGGCCCAGCAGTAAACTCGGGAGGGTAAACAATCTCCCTAATTGAATTCAATCCAACCTCGCCGCAGGAGGAGCCGAGGCCGTTCAGAGTGGAGAGAGGCTGCTGGAGCAAGTGGAGGGAAGTGTGTGACAGGATGAAGAGGCTTCGGCTGACAAGTGAACAAAAAAAATGGTGGTGGTGGTGGTGTGTGTGTGGAGCGGGGGTAAGTACAAGTAGCTAAAATAACAAACACCGGGCTTTTTGAAGAGGCCAATGACAAACACAAAGAGAGGGGAGACGGATTGGCGTGTCGGTGGTTCAGGGTGGTGGGCAGAGTGTGTGTGTGTGTGTGTGTGTGTGTGTGTGTGTGTGTGTGTGTGTGCGTGCATGCGTGTGTGTGTGGAGGGGTTCGAGGCGTGGAGAAACAGAAGCCAGCTGCGCTTTTGCATGATTACACCAAAAACATAATTTGCATCAGGAAATGAAATCCAAACATGCTCGGCGAATGAAAAAAAAAAAAAGAAAAGATAAATAAATACAGCCTTCCTTGTCGCTGAAATTAAAAGCTCATGAGTGGAGTCCCGTAGATTTGCATATGAAGATGAGCACCTATCGTAAATCATCTCAGCGATGTTCTTATTGAACACAAAGAACCAGCCCGATTGGCTCACATGAATGCTCTTCATTACTGCTCCATGTGTGATGGCGGAGGGCCACATCTTGTACATATAATCTGGRATCTGTTGCGTATTCATGACTTGCAATCAAACGTTTTCAAGTCTGTTTATGACTGTTTCTTCTTTTTTTTTTTGGAAGACATACAATACCTTGAAGTGAGCTGGAGTGATGTTCTCGAGAGCTGCTGATTACAAATCCAGCAAGTCACATTCCAGGTAAAAAAGGCATGCTTGGTCCTGGGAGGAAACAGAGAGAGAGAGAGAAAATAAAAAGGAGGTTAGGACACCCAGCAGTATGATCTTATTTATAAAAAAAAGCTTCATAAAATGCATGAAATTTTAAAAAACTAACTCTTTCTGTTGAGTTTTAAACTCAAGCTCATATTAATAAACAGAGATATTTTTTGCACTAGATCTACATCTACCTAGATACCACTGCTTTTTTTGGTCCATTTATATGTTTGACTGCTTTCATACATTCTAGGTAAAAATACCACAGTGTCCATGCCACACCACTGGGTGGCAGTAATGTCTTCATTCGTGTTATGTAAAAAAAAATAAAGAGAAAAAAACATGACAATGCTCCGTTCCAGTTGTATTCGGAGGTTGGAATTTCTGAGTTGGAAATATTAACTGGAACGCCCCTAATGCTGCAAGTTTGAGTCGGGAAGTYGGTGCAACACAACAATAAAACAAGCCACAGAAATGTTTTTAAAAATGGTGAAAATCCTCAAAGATAAAGTACACTATTTTGAGGACCGAAATGTTCATATTTTGGACAGAAAAGACAGATGGTTCGAGAGGGAGGGGTGAAGGAAACCATTTACGTCGAATGAGAGAAAGCAACTTTAAACAGAGGAAGGCTCAAAAACTTACATTATATTAATAGGTTTGATTCCTACTCAGTTCACCTTCATACAYGTGACCAAAACACAAAAAAACGTCTCTCCATTGTGAGGGGCAGATAGTTTCAGGTTAATCTACATGTGAATCTAAGCACCAAGAGGCCTCTCAGGCAGGTCTATTAAGCTTGTAACTCCATACCACTCCAGACATTTAGAACTGAGAAAGCTTCCTGGACTGGAAGTGAAACATCTTCAGTGTCAGAATTGAAGTCCAGTAGTTTGGATTTTTTAACCACTGGTGTTGGGGTTTCTTGGGCATTGTCAATATTTGAAGTAATGTCTTGAATGCAAAATGTAAAGTATTAAATCTTTGTTTTTCTCAAAAATCTTCATTTATTATGTAAAATGTCAATTTCCATGTTAACATTTGTGCAAAAAGTAGAACTGTACCGATTGCAGTTTTCTGGCTTATCACAATATTTAAAAGGTTTGATCAGCCGATTCCGATTTTGGTCCATACCACTTTTTTTTTTTTTWAAAAGGGACACTGTCAGGTGTTATAAGGTCACAATACATCTTTAATATTCCAATCTTGTTTTAATAAAAAACATCAAATAATACCCTTGAAACAAGACAAACTTGTTTTAACTGGACATTAGGTAGTGCTCACATCAGAGCAAAAAGGGGGCCTTTGTGAAGGTAAATGAGAAGCCAATCTTTTCGACCGATCTTATTTATGTATCGGCCGATCTCCGATCTCGCAAAATTAATTGGCAGCACGATGGCTCAGTGGTTAGCACCGACGCCCCACAGCAAGAAGGTTCTGGGTTCGATCCCCGGTTCGGACCTGGGGTCTTTCTGTGTGGAGTTTGCATGTTCTCCTCATGCTTGCATGGGTTTTCTCTGGGTACTCCGGTTTCCCCCACCCCCCAAAACATGTACAATAGGTTGTCTTCAGGCCCAGGCCTCCCTTCCAAAAGAGGTCTAAGATCTCAATGGGACTTGCCTGGTAAAATATAATAAAAAATTAATTAAGAAAATTGGCGTACACCCCATTTAAAAAGAGCTTATTTAAAAAAAAGCAAAAGCACTGCACTATTAGTGAAATGCCAGCAAATTTGCAAAATGTCCATGTTATTGTGTAAAGGGGCGGCACAGTTGGTAGAATCGATGCCTCCCAGCAAGAAAGTCCAGGGACCTTCCTAGGTAGAGTTTGCATTTTCTCTACGTGCATGCGTGGGTTTTCTCCGGACACTCAAACCTCCTCCCACAGACCAAAAACATGACTGGTAGGTTAAGTGGTAACTCTAAATTGTCCTTAGGTGTGAGTGAATGGTTGTCTGTTTCGTTTGTCTCTGTGTGACCCTGTGATGGACTTGTCCAGGGTGTACCCTGCCCCTTGCACAGTGATTGCTGGTAATGGGCACCAGTGACCCCCCCATGACCCTGAAAGGAGRAAGTGGGTATAGATAATGGATGAACGCAAAGTGTGGAAAGTTCCAGAAATTTAGGAAAACAATGACTCAACACATTCTTTCCTTTGAGCATAAAATATAACAAGTCAGTGAGTCAAGGTTATTGTCAACATCACCATCACCTTTTAGCACAGCTGAGGTTTTTCGGCAGTTTTATTGGACAGAGGTTTTTTTCTTCAGACGGCGAGTAAAATATCCATTTAAGACTATCTGGAGTGACTTTACTCAGTCTTTAATAGTCCCACAGGACAAACTTTAAATCTTTTCTGAACTTGACTTTAGGCCAACCTCAGGAGGCCTCTGTAAGTGTGCTGACACGTTTAAAAACACAGAAAATAATTACCTTTCAGTATCATAATTATTACTTTTTTTTCTTCTTCTTTACGGCCACATCACAGTCATCGTCTTTTTATTTGGATTTCTTCTGGGTCAACCATCATTAAAGGACATCTTCATAAATTTTTCAGTCGTTTTCTGGCGCTCACGCTGCCGCCGGAGCACGCCGTACGAAGTGGTATTCAGGTCACATCAGCCTTTAATGGCTGATTTATTAGGACCCAACAGGGGCCTGGTGATGGGCTACAGGACAAAGAGCCTGTTTTAAACTGCATTAGGACTCTGCAGTAAATATCTCACACAACATTAGCATTTTGATGACTGCCTCCACCAGTCACCTTTTTGCGCCGCCTCGTCCCCACCACCACCACCACTCTCCATCTCCTTTTCCTCCACTGCCTTTTAGTCCTTGTATCAATCCATCTTTCCAACACGCCGCTTTCCCTTTTCGCATCACTCCGCTCATTATATTCCTCATTCGACATATGAAACACATACATCTGCCAAGCTGACACCGGCGAGCGCGAGGCGAAGTGGTTAGGTTTAATTACCGCTGAATTAATGAAGCACACAGAGGAAACTCAAACTGTATTCAGAGAGATTAAAAACATTATTTCGTCTTCACCTTTTACAGCTAAAATGCATTCCTCTGTTATTATGATGCAAACAGCCCTTACATGATTTATAATCAAATCTCACATGCAATCAGAAAACCAATGAGCACCAAAGCTTCTGTAATTGAAGGGTCTGAAGCAGGTTATGGTTTGGAATAATAAGCTAAAATTAAATGGATTTGTTGGTAGTATGAAATTTACTATGCTAATTGGTCTGATATGGGCTTAGACAGAATAAAAAAGGACATTTTTTAACTCCACCCTATTTGATTTTGTAAATTATGCATGCTACTGTACATCCATCCATCCATCCATCCATCCATCCATCCATCCATCCATCCATTATCTTCCACTTGTTCCAGTGTCGGGTCATAGAGGCAGCAGCTTGAACAGGGAGGACCAGACATCTCTTTTCACAGCCACATTTTCCATCTCTTCTGGGAGGATTCCAAGGCATTCYCAAGCCAGTTGAGAGACACACGTCCTAGGTCTTCCCTGAGGTCTCCTTCCAGATGGACATGCCCAGAATACTTCCTTAGAACCTGGTGCCTATTTCCAGCAGTCACTGTGCAAGAGGCAGGGTTTGGCTTTGGTGGTATGACGGTAYTGTGGTATACCATGGTATTGAAATATTGTGACGGTTTTTAAAAACTGGTACATCGGTACATTAAAAATGGTACATTAACATGTGCCCTCTCTGAGATTCTGTTTCAATTAGTCTTTTTTTTTTTTTGCTTCTACTAAAAGAAATGGAAGCAAATCTGTGGGAATTAATTTCATGTATTCAATAAACAAGTTTTTTTGTCCAAAAGCCATAAGAAGTACCTCTCTCAAGGCCTTTATGGTCAGTGGTTGGTCAGTGTTGGGCAGTCATGCAATTCAACTATGGATATACATGTCTGTGCAGTGCTTTAAGTGGAAAAAAACAAGTGCTGGTCCTCCCATAATGTCATATAAAGATGAGATAGAGACTTATGTAATGTTTTTATATAGATCTATCAATAGATATGGACTTTTAATGCGCAAAAATAATGAAGAACAAAGCCAGTTCTAAATCAAATCCACAAGAGTCAAATTCATCACTGTTTTTGTTGTCCAAGTATCTTGGAGCTCATAGTCCCTATTTTTTTATTCAGTAACATTTTAAGTAACTTTTAAGGAAATTTTTACTTTTAGAAGTAGTGTTATTGAATCATATAGTTTTTACTTTTACTTGAGTAATACAGTATTACTATGAATTATAACTACTCTTAACTGAATAAAACATCTGGACACTCTACAGACTGTAGGCCTACTTCACTAAATGAAGAACAAACATGTTTTAATCAAATCTGCACCTGATACAGAATTTGTTCAAATGACAATACAAGCTTTGTTGATCTGATGTTCGTTTCTATCTGCTGAGGGGCTGAGACATTAGAAAATGAAAAAGATAAATACTATAAATTCTCACCATTTACCCTGTTGCTTCTGAATTGGTTTAATATGTTTTATAATTTGAATTATTTTTGGAAAAGTGCTAATTTTGCCTTAATTTGTTATTTTATATATGACATTTGTTTGTGTATATTTATATACTCTATGTATACATATCGGCCATGATCCAACTCCATGGTGGATCTCTAATAAATTGCATGTGTTGCTGCAAAGCTATGCAACAAGATACAGGATGAACGGTTTTGATGCATGAACATTAGCATCCTTATGTAGCATTCCTTGAAGGAATGCATATCGCCCACCAATTAAATAAAGCTTAAGTGTGGTAGTGTTCRTGTTGGGAATAACTCTCAGCTCCTACCGTACTGAATTTTAGCTCAACAAAAAAAAAAATTATTGAATTGATCTCAGTTTTATGTTCATAAGGGAGAGACTCACACAAATACAAGCATTTACATGACTGTCCATCCTTACTTGGCCAAAAATAAATTGGTGGAATTTAAAATTAAACTGAAGCAGCACACACGTCA